GTACGTACGTACGAGTATAGTACTACTACACTACTTACTTATTATATATATATATATATATATATATATATATATATATATATATATAAAGAGAGAGAGAGAGAGAGAAGAAAATCTTAAAAATGCCTATAGGTGAAAAAGAATAGTGTTTCATCCCGCCATGAACTTGCTATGCCCATGACGTTTTATTGAATGGACCTACAACAAACAACACAATGTTCGTGATACTTCCACGTGAAGTTTTGACTGTCAGGGACCTAGCATATCCATGACATTACCGCCTCAAACACACTAGGTTCATGGCGGTCATTTTATCCATGCCGTCTAATTTTTTCAGATGGTGATGAGGCTATAGGTGAAATCACTGTAGCATTTCGCTTATAGGCATTGCATTGTCTCTTATATATATATAAGGTTTTGTTAGGCTACACCACAAGTGGTGTAGCCCTTTAAAGTGCTCAACATTTTGAAACATTTAGATACCTTTATCCTATAGTATAGTAACTTTTTGTTTAGGGGAAGTTTAAGTAATTAGTGAAGGGTAAACTAGAAATTCCTAATAGAAACAAAAACATTTATTAATAATAGTGGACAATAACATCATCGATATGGTGTGTGACATTACCCACAAGATGAATTAATTGTTTTTAACTACTAATAGAATGCCATTATTTTCTTATAAAATTATCCATTCTACCCTTCTAACTAACAAAAAATGACCCTACTTGAAAAATTTTGTATTACAATTCAAGGGTATTTTAGTGTCAAAAAAAATTGAGCACTTTAAGAGTCACCCACATACAACATTAAATACTACTAGTTTCTTATAAAAATATCTATTGTGTATCTCCTAATAACCAAAACTACCTTTGCTCGAAACTTTTTTATTACAAAACAAAGGTAATAAGCATCCACAAATATTGAGTACAAGGAAATAATATGCAGGAGCACCCTAACATAAGCCACATATATATATATATATATATATATATATATATATATATGTGTGTGTGTGTGTGTGTGTGATTATACTTATTGTACAATTTAAAAATTACTATATTATACTATTTTCCCACATTTGAAATGGGTGAAGTACTATATGAGTAGGGACTCTAACGATCAAAATGTCTATACTTAAGATGGACATTAGAAAAAGATATTTAGCTAAACTCTACAATCACTATGTGCAAGAAAATCTTAAAAAATTACTTTAAAAAATCAGAATTGACTTATTTTTTAATATTCACGATCAGCCGATCGGGGCAAAGCTGGTCTACGCCTGGGCCAAACCTCTTTTGGCCCGCTCAGGTTGGGCTTGGCTGGGCTCGAGCCTGGACTTTTGCCAGCCTTTCCCCCATCGACATTGCCTAGTATAAGTAAAACCTTATTTGTTTAAGTTCTGAAAGTTCGTATTGGGAAGGAAGAGAAGATTAGTCACGTACCAACCGTACTATAAATTATACTGTTTCCCTCATAAGCCATCTTGTAGCTTTACAATAGTATGAAGTAACAACACTTATACTATGCTCTTGCGGGAGCATATTATGTGTATATTCCCTTGCCAAAACACCTATTTAGAAAATTTATTTTAGTATAAAATTTTGGGAACCATATAATGACTTTTTTCGTTTGAAAAATAATTGAACTTTGAGTTTCGTGACATTTGGATCTAGCTCTCAAAAAACTGGATGGTCTCTATTTAATCTTGACATATTATTATTTTTAGTACATAGATATTTTTATTACGGATATTATTTTTATCATGATTAGTTTATGGGTGATAGAGATTACATCTCCAAATTGAGATCTAAAAGGTATTCTTCGCATGTGATATATCCAAGGGAGTAAAACTAAAAAATCTTTTGGCATGAAAAGAAGGAAAAAGTTTATATAAGTGCGAGGCTCTAAACAGTCAAATTAGACCGCACCTCAAAAATTTTACTAGAAGAGGTTGTTTTGATGCCCAAATATCTTCAAATTGATCATCTTGGCATCAAGATACTTAGACATGAGAAAAAAATGGTTTCAAGTATTGAAAATAGTGCATCTTGTAATGTATTTTTGGACCGTCAATTTTCAAGATTTTCAAGTTTTCATAGATCTACCCAATCTACACTATTTTTGAAGATTTAAATTTTGTAATTAGAGATAAAAATATATTTTAAGGCTATCACAAAGATTTGTAGTATTGAAACCACATTTCTTGACACTATTTGAATGTGTGCTTTACTTTCTACTCAACTCAAATCCAACAATGAAAATCTCCATGATGGCTCTAAAATTAGTTTTCAACACCTACAATAAATTTTGAAACTAAAAAAATAGTAAAGATCTAGCAGATCTATGAACATTTATTTTTAGGGCGAAATGGATGGTCTAGATAATTTGTTACAATATATACTATTTTTAGAGCTTGAAATCCTAATATTTTTCCACAACCATAATGTTCAAGCCAAGATGATGTAATGGTTTTCCAATACTTAAATTGTAGTTTTCGATGAGTTATGAGGTGGGGCTTTACTTATTTTGATAGGATTGCAGCCTTATCAAACCATTTTTCATACATAATATGTTAATATGTGCATTCAAAGATACCCGAGTTTAAGAAACTCTTGCTCATGTTTGGGGGTGGCAATGGACCCGACCAGACCCGGGATCCGGGAGGTAGACCCGACGAGACCCGGGATCTAGGAGGTAGACCCGACCTCGGGTTTGGGTATGGGTCCAAATTTTGGACTCAAAAGGTCGGGTTCAGGTCCAAAACCTAGACCTAAATATTATTTGGGTCCGGAATTGGACGCGAATATTATGAGTAAAAGTTATGTGGGTGTTCATAAATGTTGTCAATATGATTGTTTGAAAGGAATTTTCAATTATTACATAAATAGTAAGGAATGTGAGTATTCATAAAGGAAAAAGTTTATATAGAGTGTAGGCTCTAAACAATCAAATTAAAGCCTACCTCAAAACTTTCACTAGAAGAGGTTGTTTTGATGCCAGATGCATGGACACGAGAAAGAAGTGGATTTCACGTTTTGGAAATAATGCATCTTGTAATGCATTTTTGGACCGTCAATTTTCAAAATTTCCAAGTTTTAATAGATATGCTCGATTTACACTATTTTTGAAGCTTTAAATTTTACAACCAAAGATGAAAATATAATTTAAGGCCATCACAGAACTTTCCAGTATTGAAACTATATTTCTCGACACTATTTGAAGGTGAGCTCGGCTCTATACAAACCACTCCCATTCGTAAATGTCATACAATACTGTAATTTGTTGTCAATAATATGGGTATATGATGGTAAAACAAAGAGTAAAAAAAGAAAGAGGTCACAATCATAGGGTGGCAACGGACTTGACCCGAGGCTCGACACGTAGACCCGAACCCAATGGGTTAGGCTAAAGGTACGGGATCAATTTTTTGACCCGAAAAATCGAGTCTAGATCCAAAACTTGAACCCGAATACTATTTGAGTGCAGATCCGGCGACGCGACCCTACCCGACCCGTTCCCACCGTCAGTCATGTTTGACTAACGTGTTTTCTTTAATCCCAATAATGGATAAGGCCGAGGCCATCCATAAGTAGCCACGAGACAAGTGTTGTATGATCGATGAACAGCACGTGCGCGTGTGCCATGCTCGGTCAAACGTCCCTCTATTAATGCCATTACCATCTTCGCCTTGTCGAAAGCACGCATAACCCGGCCAAAGCGTACAGCCCGCTCCAAGAATTTTAACCGTGATTCACTCCATCACCAACTAACAAACAAACAAATTTAGGTCATTTCGTGTTACGTAAATAGGCAAACATATTCCATTTTCCAATCATACCCAAATTCTAGACCTCAGGGACTCAATTTCTGGTTATGATTAAATCTTAGCCAAAATCACAACTTTCGAGAGTGGTTGAAACCAGCAATGGTTGGCCGGTTTTATTGATTACCAGTTGCTTATTTTTCAATCAATTTTCTCATTGAAATTTCAAAACCAGATTTTTTTTGCCTAAAGAGTCGTATTTTTCAATCAATTATTTGTATTTTGAGAGAGAGAGAGGAGAGAGAGAAGAGAGTCTTTTTCATGGTTTCGTGTGAAAGGGGCATCATGAGTCCTGGCTAAGACGTACTCATCATGAGTCCTGGTTAAGACGTACTCGACCCACCAGGTGGGCCTTTTCATGGGCAGAGGCGGCTCTCTCTCTCTCTCTCTCTCTTTCTCATTCTCTCGGTCTTCTGTGTACGAGGGGTTGACGTTTGATTGAATGGAAGACAAAAGCTTGTGTTACACGTTTTAATCATCACTCAACTCTGTTTGTTTGCGGGTTTTGGGTTTTGGGTTTTGGGTTTTAGGTGGTGTTAATGTTGGAATTGGAGAGCGAAAGCACCTGCATTTGTTTCTCTTAAAGTGGGTCTCTCTGAATCTTTCATGGAGATGCTGGCAGAATGGGTGCGGAGTTTGTGGGTTTCTCATTAATCTAATTCAAAGTTTGAACCTGAGAGCTAATGATGTAGGAAATGATTGGAGGAAAAAGGGGGTATTCCTCTCATGGTGTAGCTAGCAGAAGGATCTTTTCTGCTGTTTTCTTATAGTTATATGTTTTGGTTTTGGAATAGAGAGATGTTGTAGCAGGAATTGGACTGGAAACCATCTCTCTCTCTAGGATGGAGACACCTATGAGGCAGCCGAGTTTTGTGCGAAAGAAGATGACTAAACAATTGACAGGGAAGCGTGATGATACCGCCCTGCATTCGGCTGCAAGGTCCGGGAATGCGGGTGTGGTTTCGGAGATTTTTTCGTCTGCGGCACCCCATGATGGTGGGAATTTTGAGGAATTGTTGTCAAGGCAGAACCAGGCAGGAGAAACCCCCCTTTATGTTGCAGCTGAATATGGGTATGGCGATGTCGTTAGAGAGATGCTTAAATACTCAGATATCCTGACTGCAGGTATCAAAGCAAGAAATGGATATGATGCTTTCCATATTGCTGCTAAGCAAGGGGACCTAGGTAATTCAAATTCTGGTTTCAAATCTTTCTCCATTTTATCATGTTGTGTTTCTTTTGTATTTGTTTGCATTTCTTGGTTCATGATGGTCGGTCTTCTTAGCTACTTGTGCTGTGCTTTTTTCGATAAAAGTAGTTCATATTATTACTCCCTGCCTTGCTCCTACTTACCCACCCAATAAAGAAGGAAAAAGAGATGGAGGAAGTTTGCTGGTCTAGTAATGCAGTTGAGTTAATATCCTATTTATTTGGTTCTTTCTGCTGTCCATTGGCGACAGCCAGATTGGTCCATGCTGGTTATTTGGATTATCCATCCCCTTCTCAAGCAAATCTTGTTTTTCTATTTTGTCGTGTTAATTTTTCACAATCCATTCCTTTGATTTGAGTTGTAGGGGTTGAGCCTTCATCAAGTAGCAGTTTTTCTTATGATTTATCATATGGGTTTCTCAGCTTAGTGGAACCCTTTAAATATCTTATCTACTTGGGTGATTGCCTGCTAGCCAAGTTCAATTTCTTTCCTGTTTGTGAATGGCTTGCTATATACAAAATTGTCATAACCACATAAACAGTCGATGAATCAGGTTTAACTTTTTCTTTTGGGACAACTATATCGTGCTAACAAAATAGAGATCATGGTTTTGCAGATATTGTAAAGGAGCTGTTGCATGCACTGCCGCCTCTCTCTATGACCACGGATTCATCAAATGCCACGGCGTTGCACACAGCTGCCACACAGGGCCACATAGACGTGGTGAACCTTCTTCTTGAAGCAGATGGAAACCTCGCAAAGATAACAAGAAGCAATGGAAAGACTGCCTTGCATTCTGCTGCTAGGAATGGGCATGTAGAAGTTGTGAAAACCCTCCTTCGAGCAAATCCAGAAATCGCAATTAGAAATGATAATAAGGGCCAAACAGCATTTCACATGGCGGTGAAGGGTCAAAACATTGAGATAGTTGAAGAGTTGCTCAAATCAGAGCCATTAGTGATAAACTTGGTCGACAACAAGGGTAATACTGCACTGCATATAGCCTCCAGGAAGGGCCGTGCTCAGGTGGGGTGCGCAGCTTACCACCTGATTTCTTATTAGATTGCGCTTGTTCTTTCCTCCCATGGTTAAAATTGTGTTTCATGGTCAGCATTTTGAGAAAGGGTTTAAGTTTTTTAATTAGCCTGCTAGGAAGGTGACATGGATTCATGCTGCTTTGCTTTTGCAATTTGCTTTAACCATGGGCAGTTCAATTGGGGTGGCCCATGTCTACTGGCACTTACATTTGGGCTGTTTCATTTCTTTTGTAATCTCTTTAAAATATAGAATTTGCATATTAGTATTAGGCAGTGTTTTAGAACCTGTATTTGCTCTGGACTCTGAGGATGTTGGGTGAGTCCACACAGCGAATCCTGAGTGGGCTTGCCAAATCATGCTGAGTCAGATGATTTGGGCAACAACATCCATAGAAATAGGGGAATATTCTGGACAAGTAAAAAAGGAAAATAAAGAGATTTATTGAACCCAGTGAGTTTCTATGGACTCGCCGTGTTCTTATAGTACTTGCCCCAAATTTGTACAGTATCTCAGCAAGCACTGGTACAGTACTCTGCAGCCTGTGTAGTCCCAGCAACTCAGGCGAGTCTGAGTTTGTCTCACTGAGTTTTCAGACACTTGTATTAACTATGTAAGTATTCAAACTTTGCCCTTTCATTGTGTCCTTAACCCTTATAGAAATCAAAGCATACCCCTTTGCTCATCACTTTCAACCCGTTTGGTACTTCAAAAACTTGTATAGAGCTTTTTCATCGTTTCTACACTTTTGGGATGGTAATATATCCGTTATTTAAGAAAATCTCCTTGTTTGTCGCCTATTCATTTTGGCTTCTTTTCAAGTTTATATTATGTCAACTTTAACTGTATCATGAATTTCAAAATTTTTTATTCATCAGGTAGGCACTGCATGTTCATATCCCCTTAGGACATAAAATCCATTGTTCCCAAGTATATTACTCTTATGTTTTATTGTCTGGTAGGTATTGCATGGTTATGCTTGTTTAGGACATTCTCAGACTGTTTTGCCACCAGTGGCCTCAACTTTTTGTGCTTTAATCACTCATTTGTTTAAATGACTGCGTGTTGAACTTCTGCATTGTCCATGTTTTTTTTTATCATCATTTGTCTTGGTACTGGTTTAAGACCACAAGATTTTAAGTCTGGGGGCATATCAACTTTCTTACAAGAATAGGTTATTCAAATTTGGATTTCTGTATTTTACTTCCTTCTTACACTGATCTCTGTAGTTTTGGTATTCTAGTTAATTAAACCCACCTTCTTCCAGCATTTGGAATGAAGTTGGAACTTACAATATCAATAAATATGTCCAGAAGATCACATGGCTAAATGCCATGGCATCAATTTGCATCTGTTTTGAGGAATACGTTGTGGATATCCATGTAGCGTGATTAGGAAACTGTTTATTCTTGGAATATGGAATTTGTGGAAAACAATTACCACTCTATTTCACAAATTTTTATCAGCAAGCCAAGTGTCACTTCACTTGTTCCATTGAAGTCCATGTTTTGTCTTCCCATACGTCTTTGTGTAACTTCCATCTATATATGCTTCATTCGTGTTTGAAACATGTTCAGAGGACTATGGATGGTAGTCTGATTATTAGAGAGTAGATGAAGGGTCGAACCATTTGTGGCATGTAGAAGATGACATTAAGGTGGTGAGCTGAAAATTATTGACATGGTAACATTTAAATGGTTGGGGCCTGGCTTTCGCGGAATGGGGAAAACCCTCTCTCGAACAACCGCAAGGGCCTATGCGCTTCTCTAGCGTGCGCGTGTGCTCTTTAGCGCGGATAAGAACCAAAAAAGAGAGAGATTTTATCGACAATGATGCGTTCAGATGCCTACCTCGTCGTTTGGAGTTCGGGGATATGCCTGGGCAGTTGCCCTCTTAGAACAATTATGAAGCCCTCGGGCTGTCTGGGAGCGTGGTTTGGATGCGGAGCCTCCTCGAACTCAACACGTCATCTCGGTTCTTTATCTCAAAATTGCTATTGGAGTTCCGGTGAAAATACTCATCTCAAATGGGTTAATTGAGTGGGGTGGCTGGCAAATAGAGGACAAAGAAAGAAAGGTGATGGAAGCCCTTTACCACTTGAGCGTTATGAGACTTAGTGATTGGAGCAGTCAAAGAGTCAGAACTCTATAGAATGCTGACTCAGGATGACTCCAATCGAGTAAGCGAGTGCAAGAGCATCTATATCTCTCGTAACTCAACTCGACTGTATGGAGTGGAAGTTAGAACAACAATCTGAGAGTTAAAACCCTTTAAAATGGCTCTAAGTGACACTAAGTCAAACACATGATGGATAGGAAAGGCTACCAACACAAAGGAATAAAAGTAGGTGCGGAGTTGTGAAGATTAGGGCTATGGGTATGTGCAGCTAGATGCGGGGTTGATGATGCATGAGAGTGTGGTGTGTTTTAGAGTGTGTGTATGCTTGGATGCTTGGTGGGATAAGATAAGAGACAAATGGGAGAAAGAGTCGTGTCCGCAATAAGGTGCTGCCACGGGTTCAAGGACAAGTGGGGGGGGGGCCGGGGGGTAAGACAAGGCAGCAAAAAGGGGAGTCCTCTTATAGGCGGGACTCCATGTGAGAGAAGGAGAAGAAGGCAGTAAAAGGGGACAAAGAGGAGGGAGTTATGGAGCCAAAGTGATGGGGCCGTTGTCTAATGCAGCCTTGGTCGTGGCGGAGAAGAAAGAAGAAGGGGGGAGAGCTTAGAGAGAAGTGACAAAGAAAGGTTGGGGCGCCGTCTGTTGCGGCCCTAGGCGTTTGATACCATAGGGGGATAAAGAAGAGTAGGGAAAGAGGGAAGGGCGAGCGAGCAGAGCAGGGGCTGCTGTTTGGTGCGGCTCTAGATGTGAAGTGTAAGAAGAGAGGAGGGCTAGCAAAGAAACGAGAAGGGAGAGATGGGACTGCTAGTAGATGCGGCCCGAAACTGTGTGCAATCAGGGAGAGGAGAAGAGAGACAAAGAGAGAGAGGAGAGTGAGCAGAGCCTGGGCTGCTGCTAGGTACAGCCCTAGGCTTTCACGTGAAAAAAGAAGGGGGAAGAAAGGGCAGCCAAGAGAGAGGGGTGAGTGAGCAGAGCCGGGGTTGCTACTAGGTGCGGCCCTGAGCTTCGTGCTAAGAAGAGAGGTTAGAGAGAGAAAGAAGAAAGAAAGAGAAAGGAGGGAGGAGAGAGAGTCGACTAGGGGGTGTCCTAACCTAAGTGCATCTCCATGGGTCCTTTTGCATGCACATGAGAGAGAGAAAGGCTAAGTTTGGGTCTAGGTTAGGGTGAGAGAATGTGTGGACTAGGGACTAAGGTGTGGTGTATGGTGTAGGGTGTAGCGTATGGTCTAGGGTTCAGGGTGTGGTGTATGGTCTAGGGTCTAGGGTGTGGTGTATGGTCTAGATTGTATGACCTAGGGGTATTTTCTCTCTCTACCAAAAGTTTCTCTCTCCTTAGAACTTGATCAAGAACTTGGAGCTAAGGCAAAAATAATGAACTAAAAACTCACTCTTCAATGCTCAAGTTTCATAAAAATGATCAAGCCTTTCTCCTCTCTTACAAATGACATAGGTTCACTTATATGGAGCAACTACAAAACATGGGTGGAATGCTCGAAAGTAACCAAAATTGTCAAAAATTACATATTAATGGAATTAAAATAAAATCCCTTTTTTGAACTAAATGGCCAAAATACCCCTTAGTACTTTTCAACAAATGACAACCATCCCTCCATGAGGGGCCTCTTTCCATTGCTAGACTTCGGGAGCTTTTTAGGACGTTTACGGCGGTAATTCGAGCAATCAATCATCGTAGAATCAATTGTCGTAGAATCGATGCTTGATCTATCACGAACATTTTGATAGCCTTTGATCATCTTGAAACGGATTTTTTATGAAGAATAAAAAATCTGGCCAAGTCCATAAACTTCGACCACCAATCTGGTATGATCTATGACGTTTCGAGTCTTCATTTCTATCACAAACTGAAGAGGACATTGTCACGATCATTTTGCAATAAATTTCATCCAATTTGGTTTCCGTTTAAGCATATTCCAAATTTGGGAAGTCGTCAGAAAATGAAATTTCGGCAAACAGAAAATCTTGCCTCTTTCAACCTCGAAATTCGTGCTATCCGGCCTTCGATTGTGTGCAAAAACTATACCAAACTATAGCTCTTCACGACACGGTCGCAATGGGCCTATATTTGAGACAATCCGACACCGGGATTTCGAGTTATGACTTCATGAAGTATGGGATGTCTTCTAGTATAAAATCTGATTTTTAAGGTTTTGAGCTCATCTTTTCTCTAGAAACACTCATTTCCAGCCATGGCATGACGCGTGCCATATTTCAAAATGACCAGGTCGTCGAGACCTAGCTCGTGTCCAAATTTTAGCTTGTTTCGACTTAAAATGAGCAAGTTATGAGCATTTGAAAATCATCCCGAAATGGGAACACAGTTTCCATTTATGGAAATTGGTTCGCCAAGGGTGCACCACAATAGTGCAAAACCCACTCTTTTAGGGTAAGTTGGGCCCAAAATGGTCCTGAATGTTCCGATTGAACTCAAATTTGGTCCCTAGGGATTTTTCGACATTCTGGATCTAATGGCGGTGATCTGGTACTGTTTCGAGACCCCGAAAGTAGGGCTGTAGTTAGAAGGTCCTTTTTTAGCATGATAGAAACTAGATTTGAGAACCAAGTTTCATCCTGAACATATAAAAACTTGTCAGAATGTAACGAAACTTTGTGAGCGTCCTTAGGTATCCCAAACTACCATTTTCATATTTTTTGAAGCCGTTTTAGTACTCCTTTAGAGGTTGCCCAGTTGTAGGCTTATTTTTGCAGTGTTCCCATGGTTCGAAGGTTTCTTGGATTCCGGCGGGACCAGGTTGCTACTGGCTTTCTTCTTATGCATACCGAGGATACAAGTATGTCAAAAATGACGTATAACAGTAAATTGCCATGAACATTGGAGCAATTCATATCTTGCTT